TTTGTCACACCTGGACTACTGTTCAGTCGTGTGGTCAGGTGCCACAAAGAGAGACTTGCAATTGGCTCAAAACAGGGCCCTTGGATGTACACAGAGAGCTAACATTAATAATATACATGTCAATCTCTCCTGGCTCAAAGTGGAGGAGAGATTGACTTCATCACTAGTATTTGTGAGAGGTATTGACATGTTGAAAAGCACCGAGCTGTCTGTTTAAACGACTAGCACACAGCTCAGACACCCATGCATACCCCACAAGACATGCCACCAGAGGTCTCTAAGAGCTTTCCACACCTGGATTGTACAATATTTGCACATTATTCTTTTAAAATTCTTCAAGCTCTGTCAAGTTGGTTGTTGAGCATTGCTAGACAGCCATTTTCAGGTTTTGCCATAGATTTTAAAGACGTTTTAAGTCAAACTTTAACTAGGACATAGATTCTGTCATCTTGGTAAGCAACTCCAGTGTAGATTTGGCCTTGTGTTATTGGTTATTGTCCTGCTGAAAGGTGAATGAATCTCCCAGTGTCTGGTGGAAAGCAGACTGAACCAGGTTTTCCTCTAGGATTTTGCCTGTGCTTAGGTCCATTCTGTTTCTTTTTTATCCCAAAAAACTCCCCAGTCCTTAACGATTACAAGCACACCCATAACATGATGCAGCCACCACTATGCTTGAAAATATGGAAAGTGGTACTCAGTAATGTGTTGTATTGGATTTGCCCCAAACATAACACTTTGTATTCAGGACAAAAAGTTAATTGCTTTGCCACATTTTTTGCAATATTACTTTAGTGCCTTGTTGCAAACAGGATGCATGTTTTGGAATATTTTTATTCTGTACAGGCTTCCTTCTTTTCCCTCTGTCATTTAGGTTAGTATTGTGGAGTAACTACAATGTTGTTGATCCATCCTCAGTTTTCTCCTATCACAGCCATTAAACTCTGTAACTGTTTTAAAATCACCGTTGACCTCATGGTGAAATCCCTGAGCGGTTTCCTTCCTCTCCGGCAACTGAGATAGGAAGGACGCCTGTATCTTTGTAGTGACTGGGTCCATTGATACACCATCTAAAGTGTAATTCATAACTTCACCATGCTCAAAGGGATATTCAATGGCTGCTTCTTCTTTTTTTTTTTTTACCCATCTACCAATAGTTGCCCTTCTTTGCGAGGCATTGGAAAACCTCCCTGGTGTTTGTGGATGAATCTGTGTTTGAAATTCACTGCCCGAATGAGGGACCTTACAGAAAATTGTATGTGTGGGGTACAGAGATGAGGTAGTCATTCAAAAATCATGTTGAACACTATCATTGCACACAGAGTCCAACTTATTATGTGACTTGTTAAGCAGATTTTAACTCCTGAACTTATTTAGGGTTGCCATAACAAATGGTTTGAAAACTTATTGACTCAAGACATTTCAGCTTTTCATTTTTAATCAATTTGTAAAATATTTGAAAAACATATTCCACTTTGACACTATGGGGTATTGTGTGTAGGCCAGTAAAAAAAAAATCTTAATTTTATTAATTTTAAATTCAGGCTTTAACAACAAAACGTGGAAAAAGTCAAGGGGTGTGAATACTTTCTGAAGGAACTGTATATTTGTATTTTAACCCAATAATGGTTGATTTGAAGAAATTTAAGCTGCCTATCAATCACACCAGGGGTGTATTCATACGGAAACCATTTACTGTTTAAGAACCAAACGGAAGCAAACAGTTTAATTTAAGAAGATCACGAGTGGGACTTTTTAAATTACTATCTAGGTTTTCACATGCAAATAGCACTTTGATAGTGCTCAAAGCATGCCATTCCGAGAGCAGCGTTTATTTTTCAACTGGAAGCAATGAGCCCAATCAGTCGTCTACGACAACAACAACAACAACAACAACAACAAACAACAGATTAGGCTAATTAGTCCTTCGTTTTTGGGTTATGCTCACGTAAAACAATTTGGCTAATCTATACTTCCATATTTCCAAGTCCTATTCTTGAAAATCAAGGGGTATTAAATGAATTGGAATGACTGGAAATCTGACAGATTATTATGTAAAGATATAGCCGAATCGTATTATTATCTGTAGTAGAAAGCAATGGGTTAGAAGAAGCCTAAACTAACCCATTAAGTAAAATGCAACAACCATTTATAGCCCGCTACGTAAACTCTTAACATTGATTTATTCTGCAATAGATGTCATTCAATTGGTAATATTCATGTTTGTCTTCTTCGAATGCCTCCTAAGCAGTTTGACGTTTATTGTGATGAGACTTGTCCTTGAGGCAGAACTGAGCGATTTCCGCTAGAGAGGCCAACAGCAAAAGTAAAAATTGGCATATTGTAAAAATGAATTAAAACAGAAATGTGCTTAATTTAAGGTTATGGTTAGGCAGTAGCGTTAGCAGTGTGGTTACATTTAAGGTTATGGTTAGGCAGTAGCGTTAGCAGTGTGGTTACATTTAAGGTTATGGTTAGGCAGTAGCGTTAGCAGTGTGGTTACATTTAAGGTTATGGTTAGGCAGTAGCGTTAGCAGTGTGGTTACATTTAAAATCCGATTTTATGACTGTGGCTGTGCCAGCTAGTGACCTGTGCCTCTTAAAGGGAAAGTAATCTAAAAAGTAACTGAAACTAATCTGATTACGTTACTGAGTGTGAGTAATCCAAAAGGTTGTGTTACTGATTACAATTTTGGACAGGTAACTAGTAACTAACGGATTACATTTAGAAAGTAACCTACCCAACCCTGCCTATAGGTCATTCACAATGATTTAAACGCTAATAACAGTAGCCTACTACTGAAATAGATACATGGGGCTGTCAACTGAGCCAGAAATTAACATAAACAAAAAAAAAACTGCCAACATTGGAATAATATTTAAATTAATTTTGCATAAATGTAGCCTACATAAATAAATAACCTACATGTCAAACCAGTGGTGTAAAGTACTTCAGTAAAAATACTTTAAAGTACTACTTATGTAGTTTTTTGGGGTATCTGTACTTTACTATTTCCATTTTTGCCAACTTTTACTTTTACTTCACTACATTCCTAAAGAAAATGATGTACTTTTTACCCCATACATTTTCCCTGACACCCAAAAGTACTCGTTACATTTTGACAGGAAACGTGTCCAATTCACACACTTATCAAGAGAACATCCCTGGTCATCCCTACTGCCTCTGATCTGGCGGACTCACTAAATACAAATGCTTCGTTTGTAAATTATGTCTGAGTGTTGGAGTGAGCCCCTGGCTATCCGTCAATTTAAAAAAAACAAGAAAACTGTGCCGTATGGTTTGCTTAATATAAGGAATTTGAAAGTTAAACTTTTACTTTTGATACTTAAGTATATTTTAGCAATTCCATTTACTTTTGAAACTTAAGTATATTTAAAACCAAATACTTTTGGACTTTTATTCAAGTAGTACTTTACTTTACTGGGTGACTTTCACTTTTTACTTGAGTCATTTTCTATTAAGGTATCTTTACTTTTACTAAAGTATGACAATTGAGTACTTTTTCCACCACCGTGTAAAACTGTAGTCTAGGTTATATGCGAATTGGCTTCAGCCAGAAAATGAGACTTTGAATTAGGCTACATAAATATAGGCTAAATGCCAGTCATGTTTGACAATTATAATGTAAGATAATTAACATTAACATCTAAAAGTATTGGTTCTGTTGACATACTCGAGGCACAGCTCGTTCAGATCAAATGGTCACAAGAAGCGAAGGAAAAGCCTGTGCTTTTTTGCGCATTTTAGAACGGTGCGTTCCCGCTAATTGCATTTTGGACCATTCACAGCGTAGCCTCCTGCGGGGTGTGCGCATATAATGTGAAAAAATAATAGTTTATCAACATTTTAAGCTATATCGTTCTGATCTGTGGAATCAGCCTCATTGCTTTTTAACATTTGTTGATGAATTTTGGATCCATCGCCCCCCAGTCTTTACCCAGAGTTGTTTTTTGCACATTGTTTGATCCTCTCTCCCTCCCTCTAAAACTGTTGGATGATTATTTCTCAGTTTCTCGTCCTTGAGTTGGCTCTAGTAATGATTGGTAGGATTGGGGACGGTCAAGATACAACAAGTGCTGCTCACGTGACTGCAGCGCTCTCTCAATACCAATGACTGTGCTCAACACGCACGCACGCACGCACGCACGCACGCACGCACGCACGCACGCACGCACGCACGCACGCACGCACGCACGCACGCACGCACGCACGCACGCACGCACGCACGCACGCACGCACGCACGCACGCACGCACGCACGCACGCACGCACGCACGCACACACACACACACACACACACACACACACACACACACACACACCAACAGCCTGCCTGTGAGGATAGCGGCAGGTAGCTTAGTGGTTAAGAGCGTTGTGCCAGTAACCGAAAGGTCGCTGGTTCTAATCCCCGAGCCGACTAGGTGAAAAATCTGTCGATGTGCCCTTGAGCAAGGCACTTAACCCTAATTGCTCCTGTAAGTCGCTCTGGATAAGAGCGTCTGCTAAATGACTAAAATGTAAATGTAAAATATACTGTATACTTCCATTAATTTTTTCATCTGGTGCCGGGGGACCTTAAGACGAGTCTTGTGAGGCCTGTGGGCGTCCTAAAGCAAAACCGACACGTACGGGTGTTCGTGAGTCTCTCATCTTTCCACAGAGGAGTCATAATAGCTTGTAGGCCAAACCGTTCGGATGCTACAGACTATTCTGTGAGAAGACCGATTTTTCGTAATGTCGCACGGTCTAACAAATACCGCTCTAAGCTCTGTCACCGCAGATGCGGAAGTGTTACATAGGCGGGGGGCGCGAACATCGACCTTAGAAGTTAAGCTACAATTCATGGCGATCTAGGTAATGCAACAGCTATCTAACATTGCTGTTGTAGCTAGCATGTTGAGTGATGCAGGAAAGAGAGACTTTCTGACAATAAGTCGCCACTGGTCCAAATCCGAGTCACCACTGGTCAGGTCCGAGTTGAGTCACTGCGTGGAGTGTCTAGATGTCTGGGTGGCATAGTGTCTAGATGTCTGGGTGGCATAGCGTCTAGATGTCTGGGTGGCATAGTGTCTAGATGTCTGGGTGGCATAGTGTCTAGATGTCTGGGTGGCATAGTGTCTAGATGTCAGGGTGGCATAGTGTCTAGATGTCAGGGTGGCATAGCGTCTAGATGTCTGGGTGGCATAGCGTCTAGATGTCTGGGTGGCATAGTGTCTAGATGTCTGGGTGGCATAGTGTCTAGATGTCTGGGTGGCATAGTGTCTAGATGTCTGGGTGGCATAGTGTCTAGATGTCTGGGTGGCATAGCGTCTAGATGTCAGGGTGGCATAGTGTCTAGATGTCTGGGTGGCATAGCGTCTAGATGTCTGGGTGGCATAGTGTCTGGATGTCTGGGTGGCATAGTGTCTGGGTGGCATAGTGTCTAGATGTCTGGGTGGCATAGTGTCTAGATGTCTGGGTGGCATAGCGTCTAGATGTCTGGGTGGTATAGTGTCTAGATGTCTGGGTGGCATAGTGTCTAGATGTCTGGGTGGCATAGTGTCTAGATGTCTGGGTGGCATAGCGTCTAGATGTCTGGGTGGCATAGTGTCTGGATGTCTGGGTGGCATAGTGTCTGGATGTCTGGTGGCATAGTGTCTGCATAGTGTCTGGGTGGCATAGTGTCTAGATGTCTGGGTGGCATAGTGTCTAGATGTCTGGGTGGCATAGTGTCTAGATGTCTGGGTGGCATAGCGTCTAGATGTCTGGGTGGCATAGCGTCTAGATGTCTGGGTGGCATAGTGTCTAGATGTCAGGGTGGCATAGTGTCTAGATGTCAGGGTGGCATAGTGTCTAGATGTCAGGGTGGCATAGCGTCTAGATGTCTGGGTGGCATAGCGTCTAGATGTCTGGGTGGCATAGCGTCTAGATGTCTGGGTGGCATAGCGTCTAATTCTGGGTGGCATAGCGTCTAGATGTCTGGGTGGCATAGCGTCTAGATGTCTGGGTGGCAATAGCGTCTAGATGTCTGGGTGGCATAGTGTCTAGATGTCTGGGTGGCATAGTGTCTAGATGTCTGGGTGGCATAGTGTCTAGATGTCTGGGTGGCATAGTGTCTAGATGTCTGGGTGGCATAGCGTCTAGATGTCTGGGTGCCATAGCGTCTAGATGTCTGGGTGGCATAGCGTCTAGATGTCTGGTGGCATAGCGTCTAGATGTCTGGGTGGCATAGCGTCTAGATGTCTGGGTGGCATAGCGTCTAGATGTCTGGGTGGCATAGCGTCTAGATGTCTGGGTGGCATAGCGTCTAGATGTCTGGGTGGCATAGCGTCTAGATGTCTGGGTGGCATAGCGTCTAGATGTCTGGGTGGCATAGCGCTAGATGTCTGGGTGGCATAGCGTCTAGATGTCTGGGTGGCATAGTGTCTAGATGTCTGTGTGGCATAGTGTCTAGATGTCTGGGTGGCATAGTGTCTAGATGTCTGGGTGGCATAGTGTCTAGATGTCATGGGTGGCATAGTGTCTAGATGTCATGGGTGGCATAGTGTCTAGATGTCTAGGTGTCTAGATGTTGGGTGGCATAGTGTCTAGATGTCTGGGTGGCATAGTGTCTGGATGTCTGGGTGGCATAGTGTCTAGATGTCTGGGTGGCATAGTGTCTAGATGTCTGGGTGGCATAGTGTCTAGATGTCTGGGTGGCATAGTGTCTAGATGTCTGGGTGGCATAGCGTCTAGATGTCTGGGTGGCATAGCGTCTAGATGTCTGGGTGGCATAGCGTCTAGATGTCTGGGTGGCATAGTGTCTAGATGTCTGGGTGGCATAGTGTCTAGATGTCTGGGTGGCATAGTGTCTAGATGTCTGGGTGGCATAGTGTCTAGATGTCTGGGTGGCATAGTGTCTAGATGTCTGGGTGGCATAGTGTCTAGATGTCTGGGTGCATAGTGTCTAGATGTCTGGGTGGCATAGTGTCTAGATGTCTGGGTGGCATAGTGTCTAGATTGTCTGGGTGGCATAGCGTCTAGATGTCTGGGTGGCATAGCGTCTAGATGTCTGGGTGGCATAGTGTCTAGAATGTCTGGGGTGGCATAGCGTCTAGATGTCTGGTTGGCATAGTGTCTATAATGTCTGGGTGGCATAGTGTCTAGATGTCTGGGTGGCATAGCGTCTAGATGTCTGTCTGGTGGGCATAGTGTCTAGATGTCTGGGTGGCATAGTGTCTAGATGTCTGGGTGGCATATTGTCTGGATGTCTGGGTGGCCATAGTGTCTAGATGTCTGGGTGGCATAGTGTCTAGATGTATGGGTGGCATAGTGTCTAGATGTCTGGGTGGCATAGTTGTCTAGATGTCTGGGTGGCATAGTGTCTAGATGTCTGGGTGGCATAGTGTCTAGATGTCTGGGTGGCATAGTGTCTAGATGTCTGGGTGGCATAGTGTCTGGATGCTTTACAAACAGAGGCCTCTGCCATCACAGCAGACAGAGGCCAGGCCAGGGCTGGATAAGTAACAATCCATCTAAAAGTGTGTGTGTGTGTGTGTGTGTGTGTGTGTGTGTGTGTGTGTGTGTGTGTGTGTGTATGTGTGTGTGTTTCTAAAAGACAACATAGCGAGAGAGTATTAACATACTGCTAATGGAAAAAGGGGATGTATCTCTCCCCTCCAAACTGCTAATGGAAACAGGGGATGTATCTCTCCACTCCAAACTGCTAATGGAAACAGGGGATGTATCTCTCCACTCCAAACTGCTAATGGAAACAGGGGATTTATCTCTCCCCTCCAAACTGCTAATGGAAACAGGGGATGATCTCTCCCCTCCAAACTGCTAATGGAAAACAGGGGGATGTATCTCTCCCCTTCATACTGCTAATGGAAACAGGGGATGTATCTCTCCCCTCCAAACTGCTAATGGAAACAGGGATGTATCTCTCCCTCCAAACTGCTAATGGAAACAGGGGATGTATCCTCTCCCCTCCAAACTGCTAATGGAAACAGGGGATGTATCTCTCCCCTCCAAACTGCTAATGGAAACAGGGGATGTATCTCTCCCCTCCAAACTGCTAATGGAACAGGGGATGTTATCTCTCCCGTCCAAACTGCTAAGGAAACAGGGGATGTATCTCTCCCCTCCAAACTGCTAATGGAAACAGGGATGTATCTCTCCCCTCCAAACTGCTAATGGAACAGGGAGTATCTCTCCCCTCCAAACTGCTAATGGAAACAGGGGATGTATCTCTCCCCTCCAAACTGCTAATGGAAACAGGGATGTATCTCTCCCTCCACCTAATTGAAACAGGGGATGCATCTCTCCCTCCAACTGCTAAGGAAACAGGGGATGTATCTCTCCCCTCCAAACTGCTAATGGAAACAGGGGATGTATCTCTCCCCTCCAAACTGCTAATGGAAACAGGGGATGTATCTCTCCCCTCCAAACTGCTAATGGAAACAGGGGATGTATCTCTCCCCTCCAAACTGCTAATGGAAACATGGGGATGTATCTCTCCCCTCAAACTGCTAAATGGAAACAGGGGATGTATCTCTCCCCTTCAAACTGCTAATGGAAACAGGGGATGTATCTCTCCCCTCCAAACTGCTAATGGAAACAGGGGATGTATCTCTCCCCTCCAAACTGCTAATGGAAACAGGGGATGTATCTCTCCCCTCCAAACTGCTAATGGAAACAGGGGATGTATCTCTCCCCTCCAAACTGCTAATGGAAACAGGGGATGTATCTCTCCCCTCCAAACTGCTAATGGAAACAGGGGATGTATCTCTCCCCTCCAAACTGCTAATGGAAACAGGGGATGTATCTCTCCCCTCCAAACTGCTAATGGAAACAGGGGATGTATCTCTCCCCTCCAAACTGCTAATGGAAACAGGGGATGTATCTCTCCCCTCCAAACTGCTAATGGAAACAGGGGATGTATCTCTCCCGTCCAAACTGCTAATGGAAACAGGGGATGTATCTCTCCCCTCCAAACTGCTAATGGAAACAGGGGACGTGTCCCAAATGGCACCCTATTTCCTATGGGTCCTGGTCAAAAGCAGTGCACTAAATAGGAAATAGGGGACGGAAAAAAGGGTATTCTCTGTACAATGGAGAGGTTGTTGAGGACCCTTTTCCCCTCTCTATTCCCCAGGTTAGTTAGCCTCTTACGGCTAGGACACAGTCAGGTTCTAGCTGGAGGTCAGTTAGCCTCTTACGGCTAGGACACAGTCAGGTTCTAGCTGGAGGTCAGTTAGCCTCTTACGGCTAGGACACAGTCAGGTTCTAGCTGGAGGTCAGTTAGCCTCTTACGGCTAGGACACAGTCAGGTTCTAGCTGGAGGTCAGTTAGCCTCTTACGGCTAGGACACAGTCAGGTTCTAGCTGGAGGTCAGTTAGCCTCTTACGGCTAGGACACAGTCAGGTTCTAGCTGGAGGTCAGTTAGTCAGGTTCTAGCTGGAGGTCAGTTAGCCTCTTACGGCTAGGACACAGTCCTATAAATGTAACAAGTTGAATAAATGTAACAAGTTGAGGGGACTAAACTGCTTGGAGTAACCCTGGATTGTAAACTGTCATGGTCAAAACATATTGATACAACAGTAGCTAGGATTGGGAGAAGTCTGTTCAGGTCCTACAGGCCCTAGTTTTGTCGCACCTCGACAACTGTTCATTCGTGTGGTCAGGTGTAAAAACAGATAGAAATACACCTTATGGAACAGCGGGGACTGTGAAGCAACACAAACATAGGCACAGGCACATGCATACACACACACGATAACATACACACACGTACACATGGATGTTGTGTTGTATATATGTGGTAGTGGAGTATGGGCCTGAGGGCACACAATTAGTGTGTTGTGAATTCTGTAATGAATGTATTGTAATGTTTTTAAAATTGTATAACTGCCTTAATTTTGCCGGACCCCAGGAAGAGTAGCTGCTGCCTTGGCAGCAGCTAATGGGGATCAATAATAAATACAAATACATGACTTGACTTGACCCAAAACCATTTGTTGCCATTAGTCAGAGTGGCAGATGGGAGACAGTGTGGTGGGATGTGGCGGTGCCTGCTATGGTAGTCTAACGCACTAGAGCAGGAGTTCTTAAACCTTTTCAGCTCCAGTCCCAGAAATTGAGAAATTGACCGTCCTCCCGTGACCCAAATCTTCCTCCAAGAAATAGTGTGCGATTATAGACGTATAGATGTATTCTCATAAATGGCGACCGCCCCACCTCTTGCACGCCCAGGGCCCACTTTGGGTCCCGACCCTGCGCTAAACCAGTGTTGTTGTACAGCTGACCGTCACGTGACTAATATAATATAATAATAATAATAATAATAAGCCATTTGGCAGATGCTTTTATCCAAAGCGACTTACAGTCATGCGTGCATAATTTTTATTATTTTTTGTGTATGGGTGGTCCCGGGGATCGAACCCACTACCTTGGCGTTACAAGCGCCGTGCTCTACCAGCTGAGCTACAGAGGACTACCGGCTCAGGAGAGTGGAAAGTCTAAACGTAATCCTTGGGACATCCAAACTCTTACATCACCCCACTGAAGTTGAAATTTTAAATGTTTAAGGTAAGGGTTAAGGTTAGGGACGTCCCAAGGATCCCGGATAGCACAAACCCTCAGGAGAGGCATAGCCACAACAACTTTCTGTTCTTTCAGACTGGACTCAACAGTACTTCCACACACGGCCCCTGCCGTCTCACTCTATTATGAGACACCAGCAGATGTGACATTACACACAGGAAGCAGCACAGGATCAGTTCCACATATTTGAAAAGCTAATTTCAGTTCAGTGAGAACTGAGAATTGACACGAGTTGGTTGGTTTTATGAGAAACAGCAGAGAAGTGAAAAATAGAAGCTTCACACGCTTTTACAATAAGAGAGTTCAAAAGAACAGGGCCAGCAACAAATAACAAAAGTTCAACATTTCATCATTATGGCCGGGCATGTTCCTACTTAAACCAGATCAATGTTGACCTCCATTATCATGCAGACTAACCATTATCATGCAGACTAACCATTATCATGCAGACTAACCATTTGACACCTGCCCCCTCCTGTCCTCTAAACACAGTCTACAGTCTAGAACCCAACATCTCCAGGAGAAACACAGTTGTGCATTGTGCCTCACATCCCTCACAGCCTCACAGCCTCACAGCCCTTACAGCCCTCACAGCCCTCACAGCCCTCACAGCCTCACAGCCCTTACAGCCTCACAGCCCTTACAGCCTCACAGCCCTCACAGCCTCACAGCCTCACAGCCCTTACAGCCCTCACAGCCCTCACAGCCTCACAGCCCTTACAGCCTCACAGCCCTTACAGCCTCACAGCCCTTACAGCCTCACAGCCCTCACAGCCCTTACAGCCCTCACAGCCCTCACAGCCTCACAGCCTCACAGCCCTTACAGCCTCACAGCCCTTACAGCCTCACAGCCCTTACAGCCTCACAGCCCTTACAGCCTCACAGCCTCACAGCCCTTACAGCCTCACAGCCCTTACAGCCCTCACCAGCCTCACAGCCTCACAGCCTCACAGCCCTTACAGCCTCACAGCCCTTACAGCCTCACAGCCCTTACAGCCTCAACAGCCCTTACAGCCCTTACAGCCTCACAGCCCTTACAGCCTCACAGCCCTTACAGCCTCACAGCCCTTACCGCCCCACAGCCCTTACAGCCTCACAGCCCTTACAGCCCTTACAGCCCTTACAGCCCTTACAGCCCTTACAGCCTCACAGCCCTTACAGCCTCACAGCCCTTACAGCCTCACAGCCCTTACAGCCTCACAGCCCTTACAGCCCTTACAGCCCTTACAGCCTCACAGCCCTTACAGCCTCACAGCCCTTACAGCCTCACAGCCCTTACAGCCCTTACAGCCCTCACAGCCCTTACAGCCTCACAGCCCTTACAGCCTCACAGCCCTTACAGCCCTTACAGCCCTTACAGCCCTTACAGCCTCACAGCCCTTACAGCCTCACAGCCCTTACAGCCTCACAGCCCTTACAGCCTCACAGCCCTTACAGCCCTTACAGCCCTTACAGCCCTTACAGCCCTTACAGCCTCA